ATTTGTGTTAACTTTATTGCTGTTTATATCACTGCTCCTGTTGATGTTTTTATTTAATCGGCAACACAGTTCGAGTTTTGTTTTCTTTTTCTCGCTGCCTCCGTCTTCCATGCATCCTCCACGTCTGTTTGTCTTTCCTCGTACAATAAACAAAGAGTCTCCTTATTTGGAAGCATCAAAGCAAGTCTCTATGCAAACAGTTTTAATTATTTGCTTTCCAACGCTATTACGCTCTCCCGCCACATTGCCTCTTACTCTCCCCATTTCCTTGCTCTCCACATTTCTTTGAATCCGAAGTAGACCACCATGTTTTCTTTCTCTCCTTCTCTCTCTATCTTCCTCTTATATTTTTTTCTATCATTTTAATATCCACTCGTTTACACTTCCGGCAGATATAACCGACCCACACCGACCGTTTCTACCCGACAAATGTTAAAATTTATGGTTACAGTTGCCACTAAAAAGCTATCTTTACCTCACAAAAATTTACACACGCTTAAAATCATTCAGTTGTGTTCTATTCTATTTTTGTTCTTCCTTTGTTATTTTTATCCCCTTTTCTGCCTCTTCCGCTCACGCTCTCCTTCTTCTCTGTTATTCTCTTTCTCTTTAAATAGACAATAAAGATAGACAAATGAACACAGACAAATAAACTTTGGATGGGACATATAGTCAAAAATAGTTAAATTTCATAAATTACGTATTTACTGATTACTTATAATCTGACGCTAAGCTTTTTTGAAGCATTCAAAATCAGAACATTAACTGGATTCGAACACAAGCTCATCGCCTTCTGATTGTTCAAATATCCTTCAGTCAGTTATGTGCCATGCGTGATACAAGCTTAGGCGATCATGAAAGATACATGACTGACGAGGCAGATTTTTTTCCAGAAGTAGGTTGCCATTTCTTTCTGCAGTAGACTAGTTGCCATCCAAGACTATGGAACTCGGTCTGTGCTGCTATTTACCCATAAGGGGGGGGGGAGAAGAGGATTCATATCTTTCCCAAGGGTATTAGCATGTAAGTGAATGTAATGGATTCGAATGGAATTCAAATTCGGCTCTCCGATTCCTCAATCGTAGAGAAATGATTATTCTTTTATGTTCCATGTCTCTTCAGGAATTGAACGATCACGGCTCTCCACTACTCCCAATCCTTTGTAGCTCTTAGTAAAGTTCATCTTTTCGCTATCCACCTCAATCGCTGTTCTGCTCATCAAATAGTATACTTGTTGCTTTAATCTTCTCCTTCTGCTTTCAATATGTCCTTTGTGCATCAAATTCTCCAAGTCATCTTTCCTCATTATGTACCCTAGAAATTTCAACTCCTTCTGATTCTAAGTATAAGTGTTCTATCTGGGTCTCCATTTGTTTAAAACCGCCTCGTTACGCATATGTTCAGCCGTAGTATTCTCAATATCTTTCTGTAGAACCAGATTTCTGCTGTCTCAAGTCTCTCCTTCATCTGTAAAGAGATTTCCCACCATTCACTTCCATAGTGGAGGACTGGTATCATATAATAGTTGATTACTCTTTTCTTTGTTTCTAATGAAATTTTCCTGTTTCTTAATACTTTGCTTAGCTTTTGGAAAGCGTCTTTCGCTATCCTAATACACCTTCGGATTTCTCTGTCAAATTTTCCGTCTTCTGTGAAAACACTTCCGAGATTTTTAAATTTTCGCAAATATCTGAGAAGTGTTTCAACACAGGACGGGAAAGTGTGATACCGAAGAGACATGATACAAATTCCTTTTGTCTTCTCTAATAAACGGAAACAAACGACGACACGGCTCTACATTTTGAAAGGTTTTTGTCGAAATAATTAAGGCGTGATTGTTCTCCCATATATATTTTTGATGCTAGACGTATATATATATATATATATATATATATATATATATATATATATATATATATATGATGAAATTATTTTTTATTACTAGAAAATCCATTTATTTATCTATTTTCTAGCTTCAACCAGCCCAAGTTCACTAACTTCGTCTGTTTACACCTCTGCTCGCAACTGTCTAGGTTAGTTCGAGCATGCGCGTGCATGTGTCTACGTTGTTTCAGTTGGTTTGGGTGTGTGTATGTATTTTGGGGGTACTTATGTGTCTGTGTGCGTGTGAATGTGTACGTACGCTGTTTCTGTTGGTTTTGTCTGATTTTGCGCGTGTGTGTGTGTGTATCTGTATGTGTGTGTGTGCTTCTTCAGTCAGTGTGCGAATGAATGTGCTGTCTCAGTCTTTTCGTCTGACTGTATGTGTGTATCCATGTATATATCCGCATGTGTATGCGTATGTGCTAGTCTGCTGTATCCGTATATGTGTGTGCATGCTGTCTCAGTCAGTCCGTATTTGTGTGCATGTCCTGTCTCAGTTACTCTCTCACTTTCTGTGTGTGTAAGTGTGTGTGAATGCGTGTATTGAAAACAAGTTAAGTGACGCCAAACCCAGTCAGTACTTAGATGGGGGACCACTTTCTAACACGTGATACTGTAAGCAACCTCCTGCAATCTGAAATATGTTTCGGCTTCAAATAAAGCACACAAAGGGTTGATAAACTATAAAAAAAAAAACTCGGATATGTGCGCTTGTGTCTGCTGTCTCATTTACAGTGTATGTTTCTGCGCGCTGTCTGTCTGTGTGTGTGCATGCGAGTGCGCGCATCCCTGTGTGCGTATCCTGTCTTTGTGTGTGTGTGTGTGTGTGTGTGTGCATGTGCTGTCACAGTCACAATGTGCTGTGCTGTGCTGTGTGTGTGTGTGTGTGTGTTTGTGTGTGTTTGTGTGTGTGTTTGTTTGTGTGTTTGTGTGCGTGTGTGTACGTGTGTGTACGTGTATGTGTGTGCGTGTGTGTGTGTGTGTACTGTCTTAGTTCCTCTTTATGTCTCAGTGTTTATCTCTCCCAGCCCGTGAGCTGTGTGTCATTTCATTCGCACTCGGTCAGCGTCATTACATAAAGAAACAGATACAATCATTTGTAGTCTGAATTGACAATCAAGTTTTACTCATGGACACGAATTCATTCTGCGATTAAATCTCAAGACAAATAGCCGTTCAAACGCTTCTCAAGTTCACAGCAATTATCGACTTTAGACAATGAACGCACAATTATAATTTTGGAGACTGACTGGCCAAGAATTTTGGTTGAACCGGCTTCGCTCTACAACAAACATGGTGGATTATGTTGTGGGAGTCAGTTTTGAATATTGGTTGTTGATTACACTTTATAAAGTTTAAAAATGGCCGACATGAGTGAAGAGTTCCCCACTATCTGAAATTATTTATACTAGCAGTACCGGAGAAAATTTACGGACTTCCCTATTTTAATTTTGTGACGAATATTAATTCTTAATATAACGATTGAATAAACTCTTTGCTAGTTCTACGACTATAAAATACCCTCAGAGATTTCTTTATTACAGCTGTTAAAACTTCAACAAAATCGTGCCGTAACAATAAGCGTGAATGAAGGTCATTATAGAATCATAAAGAAGTGTGGACAAATGAAAATCTTCAAAATTAACATGGCTTTCTGTTTCAATGAAGCAGACGTTAAACGCAGAAGAGCGTTATTGCCTCCGCTAAGTTCCTTTTCATGCATTCATTCTTTCTTCTTTTCTTTTCTTTTCTTTTCTTTCTTTCTTTCTTTCTTTCTTTCTTTCTTTCTTTCTTTCTTTCTTTCTTTCTTTCTTTCTCACTAAAACCAAACAGCGTCTTTGATATATCTTTTTCTTCTGTTGTTCTTCGCATTCAAAACGGAATAGTCCATTATTTACCTGAGGTAACGAGGTAATATAATGAGGAATATTTTGAGCGTTCCCAGATCCCGCCAATATAGTTTAGCTGCCAACCTAGATATCAAACATCAACATTCATAGTCTTCAGTTTGCTGCAGTCGAAAGAAAGAAAACCTAAGAATACGGGGTTCGAACGAGATTCTTTCCTCTCTTATTTGTAAGATCTTTGATTCAACGATTTATACAATCTTTACAGTAACATAGAAGTATTTGTTGAAGATATCCTCGTCGTGATGTCAGGAATTATGTGAACTATAAAGCATTCTTATAGTCTTATCATTTAGGAAAAAGTCATCATTTAATAATAATCAATTTCATCATATCAATCGCATTTTCTGATTATTGATCCAGATACAAGTCTCCCCGACTTTTCCAAATTTCACTTTACGACATTCGCTTTTACGAAAGAAATTTATTTATTATAATTATTAATACAAGTTTACTACTTCTCCCCGCAGTAGCGTAAAGGGAAGTCACAACTTCTATAATTTATATTGAGAAAATATTTTAAGCGTCCCCAGATCACCAATTTTTTTGTATGTCTACCTACATCGATGTCGAAGGTTGTTACGTTGTTTGTTGTAGCTGATATGGAAAAATCCGAAATTTCCAAATATTCACTGTACGCCATTCACTTATTTATTAAGATTTCAAAAACGACCAAAACTCAGAATTTTATTTGGAAGGTCCTCTTAGTCGAGTTGAGAATTTCATCACCCCATCGCACAAATGGGTGTTGTTTTTTGTATGTCCTCATACAATAATAATCTTCGTGTACATGAGAAAGATATAAAAGAAAGAGAAAAACGTGTGGGAAAAATATTGTCCGCGTATAAGCACATACACAGATACTACACGATGAGTTGTTCCCAGTTTGATCAAAGGCATGAAAATCACAATTTTCTTAAAATTCCTACCTTTGTCTGTCTTTATTAGACTGATTTGTATTTTACGATTTATCAACACATTGCGGATCATTTAAGGCCAGAAAATCTAGTTAGATTGTAAGAATTTTATTTTAGATCATAATGATTTAGTGATACAAACCTTATTAATTAACCCATAGATGGAGGGATGAGAGTTAGATTCATGCCTTTCCGCGAGTGAAAGAATATAACGAACCCAACTGGAATTGGAAATCGGCTCTTCGATTAACAATTCCGAGCCGTTATCCATCACATCACCCGCACACTCAAGATTACAGCGCCTGGTATTCCCAAGCGTTCAACCATCTAAATACTGACCGTGCATTACGTTGCTTAACTTCGGTGATTGTACGGGAATCGGTGTTTCCGCGGGATATGGCCGTTGAAAGTACTCAAGCCATGTGATTTCTGTTACTTAGTACAGTTCTTTGGGATTCTGTAGCGCCAGACCACAATGTTTAAAGAAGGATGATCTTGACACGACTACAGACTTCACATCCTCAAAATGTTTAAATGTTCATCTCATGAACTCATCCGGAGTTCCTTAGTATTTTTGTTTTTATTTTTAAGAAGACAGTGCTCCATACACAAGTAGAGCTCTAAAATTTCGCTTGAAGATGAAACGAGACTAAACACCTCAATTCAAATTAATCTTAATAATTATTTGGATGATTTCGGCTCTCGTTTTTGAAACATGAGAACTCTTATGTGGCGAAGGAATCATATTTTTAAACAAAAAAATATTATTATTATTATATATATATATATATGTATATATATATATATATAATTTAATTTTTCCAGCATCCTTATTTTTTTTCGTTTTATAGGAGTAAGGGAGTCCCAAGCGATTTCAACGATTTCTTTAGCCATTTTCAGGTGAGGGGTTGTGAGCTTTTCCTCATTTTTTGATTGTTTAATTTGTATTTTATTTTTGTTTGTTTTTTTGTTTTTTTGTTGTTATGTTTGTATTTTTGTCATTGTTTATTCCGAGCCTTTGCATGTTGAACGCGACTGTTAAAATTAAATAAAAAATTAACGAAATCTTCCTTGTCTTAAAAGAAAGGTTGCTGCCCAAATACATTAATATATATATATATATATGTGTGTGTGTGTGTGTGTGTGTGTGGTCATACATAGACACACTGCTTCTCTGTATCACATGTCATAAATGTGTCTAGACACCCGATTGCTTCAAGCCAGGATCGAAATTCGACCGATTTGACATCATTCAGAGACCTTTTATCCCCAGGATATCGGCGCACGACCGGGGAAGGGATTTTTTTTAACGCATTATATATGTGGCGTATATAAACGCCATTCTTTCGAAGAGCGATGAATTTAAAGCAGCAGCCGTTAAATAATTCCCGTTTCCCATAGTGCTCAATCGGCGAACGAGAGCATAAGTAGTCATCCACAAACAGACTGTTTTGCTGTATTACAGCTCATCAGTGTGGCTAAAGTTTAGCTAATACAAAATCTCAATAGCCCCTCAAGTTAGATAATTACTGAATGAGGTACATGATATGAATGTAAGAGGGTGAAGAAAGAAGTGAAGATTATTAAGATAGGAAGGATAGATAATTCAATTTCAAGGAACTACTCATGCAAGAGTCTGCTCCACAAAGTAGCAGTTCTTGAAAAATACTATGTATAGAACTTCCTCGTTACATTTAGAATACGGGAGAAATGTGAGTGGTTCGTCTCCGTAGGCGTGGCATGAAGATTTCAAGCTAAAAAGGTCTGAACTAGTGGAACTATCCAGCTTGTGTCGATGTTGATAATGAATTTATTTAAAGACAGTATACTGTTACTGTCGACTGGAAGGTAACGTATATGTTAGAAAGACTTCCCCATCTATCCTGGCAACCACACCCTTAATCGGCAGCCATCATAGAATGCTAGCCACGAGTTATTTTGGATCATGATAACTAGAAAATGGAACATGATGCAGCGATAAGTGGATTAACTGCTTTTCGAACGACATTACTACAAAATGAACATAAGCTGTCTCACACGAAACTCGAACCTTGCTCGCCGATTCCCTTTTCCATACTTAGTTCTGTTACTTCACTTCGACTGTACGTGTCGTGACCACATAAGAAAGAGTGTTGCTGGAATGTTCCCGGTACGCCCCCAAAGCCTTCAAGACAATAATAATAATAATAATAATAATAATAATAATAATAATAATAATTAGAATACACACTGACAGAACAATCAAAGGTAATCGCCCAGATATCGCGGTTAGAGACCGCAAAGACAAAATGTGACTTCTTATTGACATAGCAATCCCTCCAGCGTGTTGTTTTAAATGCCTAAAAATGTTAGAGTTATCATTCAAATGTAGAGTCAAGCGTCGTGAAAGCGAGTTTGTGGTGTGACCAACATAAATATTATTTAATCCATTGGAGATACAATCTCCCAAAGGGCACTTGAATTTGTAAACTATGTTGGTTTTTTGCAAATCACTAACGGGGAGGGGGAGGAAGAATCATTACGAATAATTAAGTAGGATATACTAGATTTAGTGTAGTATATAATTAAACTAATATTTTTCGTTGCGCGTTTTCTCAAATACAAACGAAAAGAGATACTCCGTAGTTATACAAATCTCATATGCTGAGCTTTGTATAACTACGAAATATCTCTTTTCGTTTGTATTTGAGAAAACGCGCAACGAAATCTCGTAATTGTACGTGATTTATTTTAACTCTGAAATGAGACTTTAATTTTGAATTTACTTTCTTCTTTTTTTTTAGCTACAAAGGAATTATTTTAATCAAATTTTTCTCGACAAAAGAACAACTACATAGCAAATGGGTAGCAGTTCCGGCAAAGAGCACATAAAATTGAATTAAGACAATAAAGAATAATAAAGAATGAAAAACCGCGAGAAATGGTCGAAATAGAAATAGCGTTATTTACTTTCTAGTAATTATCGTCATTATTACGTTTATTAATTGCATCATCATAATCATTGTCATTATTTTTTACTTTTTGTTTATTATGAGTATTAATTTAATAGAAGTAGTAGTAGTAGTAGTAGTAGCCATGATAGAATCTGTCACTGACATCGTATTTACAATTCCTATTCAAACTTCTCCGATTTCTCCTTCTTTCTCTCCTTCTGCTCTTTATTACTCCTTACCAAGCTCATTAACTGTCAGTGTTCGTTCTGGCCGTGATACGCGTTTACTTTCCAACCTTTTGTTTTTGTTTGTGAGGGAAGTTAACAGTATGATTATATCTGTATATTCTCTTTTAGTTACACTTGCTACCTGTTTATGTTGGTGTTGTTAGAAGTGTTCAACTGATGTGGTATTTGTTATTTGGAAAAGCTCACTGTTTGATTTTGTAGCGCCAGTCTATAGAGTCTGATGAAGGAGATTTATCTTTAAGATTTATAGGATTTATTCGCTTCAAGCTATTTTAATCATAGATCTGAGAAAACGGTCGTATACAGGTGATAGTTTAGACATTTCTGAGCGAGTTGGACGCCATGTATCACATCCACATGAGAGTTTAGATCTGACGAGGCGGCAATTTTAGAACATGGCACTCGTTTTCAGATCAGTATTTTGTTATTGTAGCATTTTATGGTATTGTATAAAAGTATCCTCGAGTGCAAATTATCCTGTGCTTAACTAACTTATCTCCCGTACGAAATTTATTATAACTGATTATATCTATCCATCTGTTGTAACCTAGGGAAGGTTACTGAATAGAATAATCACACGAAGGCCGATAATGAACGATAATACTTAGAACAAGAACAACACATATAAGATTCGCCAGCGGCGCCTACAAGAAGTAGTCAACTGCTAAAATTGACTCAAGTGAATTCCACAATGAATCTCCTACTGCAGGATAACTACCAATCACCCACGCGGTCAGATGTGGCACAAGGCCGAATTTAATGTGGCATATCCGAGCCTGTAGGCTCACAAAAAAAATTCCCCGTAGACCCCCATATAAAACGGAGTCGAGTAACTGTTTGTTCCCCGAGGCGAGACTCTGCCCTTCAACATAGCCTTGTCTGGGAATCCTCTCTCTCCGGAAGCAGAGAGTTTGACCAGCAGAGCAGGAGACGAATCTCCTGCTGCAGACCGACATACAATATTTACTACTGTATTTATGTGAATGGGGACATGCTTATTATCGTCCGTAGATATGCTACAACACTATCCATCTCTATATTAATGCATGTTTCATTAAATAATATAGACAAGTTTTGTTAATTTATTTTAAGTAAATTCCTTTCATATTGTCGAATAAGCTTTTTAGCATTATCACCGAAACAGGAAAGAAAATCACTATGTTGATACATGTTTTTTAAATTGTTAATCCTGTCTAAGCTTTCGGCTTACATAAGCCATCATCAGAGATTACAAGTACATTACAATAAACTAAATAATAAATTATATAACGAAGATGGTAATTTTTGGTTAGAATGGTTGCAACAATTATAGTTTCTTTTGTTTGCATGGCAGATTGCTATGCAACGATACATTCGTGCATATGAAATGCAGGAAGCAAAATATCACATTGCGGTTCATGACGTCACACAATTAACCATAAATAGACAAAACTTGTCTATATTATTTAATGAAACATGCATTAATGAAAAAATGCTACCTATACACACACACACACACACACACACACATATATATATATATATATATATATATATATATATATCATTTCACTCCAAGCAAGACAATAAGGCCACTAAGACGCGGAAGATACTAAGTGTGAAAGAATACAAGAAAAAGTAAACCATTATTAAGGAGTACGAGAAATAGTAGAGAAAACTTATGTGCCTTCTGACTAAATGTGCTTTAAAGGCAAGCAGAACCTTGCTTGATTCTGAAGCTCTTAGTAGCCGAACGGTCAAAGCAAGCCGTATCAGACGGAGATTTCACCTGCAAAGAGACACGCAGGTTCGAATCCTGTCGGAGGGCATATTTTCTTTAATATGTTTTCTCGAGTGTGAAGGCCCGTAGACGAAATAAATACTGTTTCAAATAAACGAAGCGTCTTTCAAACATGAGTATCCACTAAAAAACAACGTTTGAAATAATTTATTTATATATATATATATATATATATATATATATATATATATATATATATATATATATATAAGAGAGAGACTGATAGATAGATAGATAGATAGAAACGGACTTAGACACAAAGAGACAGATACAACGATACTTGGATAATAATGCCATGTGCAAACTGAGGGTTTCATAAATATATTGACTGCTTTAGAACAAGAACTTTTTGGCGCCAATTTGCTCAAACTGGTAGACGAGCACGAATAGATTTAAACAAAGAAACCACTTCAATCAAATATTAAAAGAAACATGAACTTGTGTGTATGTGTGTATAGAAAGTACAATATCTCTAGAATAGAAACATATAATAGATGATATTTTCCAGCATCCACCAGTGCATAATTGGTGGCACATCGCGTTGACCCTAAAAACCAGCATACTACTTCAATCTGACAGATCAAAGATATCTTGGATACTGTGTAACTGGTTCCCGACAATGAGTGCACAAAAACAGTAAGGCCATTGTTGTCATCTGTCGCTTTTTGTGAATCTTCGACGAAACTACTATTGCCTTTTGAATTATCCATCCGTCCATAAGGATGAACAGCCGGTCTAAAACGGCACTATTTCTTGCGATAGAAACGAGCGAAAGTTTGCTGTATTATTCATACAACTGTGTATTAATTAATATATGTATTCGTTCGTATGTCTTCTTATGGTACAGGATTACAGTTATATCACGTTGAAACACCGCTTTTTTGTACGATCACCAAAGTTAAGCAACGTCGAGTATGGTCAGTACCTTGACGAGTGACCGCTTGTGAATACCAGGTGTTGGAAGACTGGATGGAGTCATTGTTCTTTCCTACTGAGAAAGATATAAAATCAAACAGACCAGATATATTGGTTAAAAATCTACAAAGATGGTGTCTCATAAATATGGAAGCGTCATCAGATAACAAAAAGAATATGACAAAATAACTAAATATAAGGATCTTGATATCTGTCTATATCTGAGATGAAGTATTAGGATTATTTGCATTATTCGGACTGCTATCCTCATCTTCATTGCCATATTCACAACGTTTCGGCCGTTGTACGCTCCAGTCTTCTTCAGGGGATTGGAATTTTGAAGTGAATCTGTTATTTCGTCCACCGGGCAGCAGTGGTGAACCAAAAACTTGAAGAGTTGAGTCAAAAGGAAATAACTGTGACATTCGGAAGAGGCATGGCACGTGGAACTAGAACAATCTGCCCGGGTGGACGAAATAAAGGGTTCGGTTAGAAATTCCAGTCACCTGAAGAAGGCCGGAGCGTACAACGGCTGAAACGTTGTGAATATCGCAATGAAGATGAGGATATTAGTCCGAATGAAGATGAGGTATCTTGATATCCGAAAATAATGCAACTAAATCTACTGTTATCTAGAATAATATTGAAGTCAACGGCAGCCCCTGTTTATAAGAGATTTATAAAAAGGCGCTGTATGAGACTGTTTATCTACTCAAGAGAGCATTATCAATGTCAAGTATACTGACATAAATCGTTGAAACACTGGTTCCCAACGGCAAAGCCAACGTCGAGTTTATAAGATGGGTATACCAGATTTATGGAAGTGCGGCTGGTGTAAGGGATAACGACTCAGAATTAGAAACTGGCTCTTCGATTTCCCATTCCAGTTGGGTTTGTTATATTCACCTACGCGAAAATACCTTTGGGAAAGAAATCATTCCACTTCTGTTCCTCCAACGTGTGGGTTAACTAGTACCCCTTGTATCATTATATTATCTCAAGAACCTTGTTGCAAACTAAAAATATTAAAATAACCTGCAAAAGGTCGATAAGCCGTAAAAAACAAATCAATAAATCAAAATTCTTATTGTTAATAGTATATCTCCTTATAACGAGACGGAAGAAATATACTCTATTCAACATACACAAACGTATGTACTTATTTACTGAGTTTACAACAATCCTGCACAAAGCAACATTAATGGGTTAGCGAGTTGTGACCAAATTCATTGAACTAAAAAAAGTGATTACTTACATTATTCGGACTGATATCCTCATCTGCCATATTCATAACGTTTCGGCCGTTGAGATGATTCTTCTTCAGATGATTGAACTTTCGAACCGAAACCCTTATTTCGTCCACCCGGGTAGATTGTTCTAGTTCCACGCGCCATGCCTCTTCCGGATGTCACAGTTATTTCCCTTTAACTCAACTGTCTAAGTTTGGTTCACCACTGCTCACAACTCTTTGGGCCTAGTCACTGAATCTAACCAACGTTTTTATCCACTGGGTATACGTGTGTCCTTGAATGTCCATCTGTAAATGAATTTTGGCGACTTATAAACCTAATGTCTCAGTAACTATTTTTTACCAGTGCTCATATTGCATTTTTTTTTACAGTTATTATTATTGCATTTTTTAGCAGAACTTATATTGCAATTTTTGTTGTTATTCCTTGATTTTCTCTAACACTCCTTATTACTGGTTGCGATATTGTATTCATTTCTATGCTTGGTCGGCTCAGGAAATTTTTGTGGCCGAGCATATGTGCTGATTCCTTAAGTTTTCGTATTTTCCAATAATGCTCTCTGTCTATTATTTCAACCTCATCACACAGATACTAAAAAAGTGCCTTACGAAAGAAGAATTCAAAACAACGTGCTACATATACATATATTGATGTGTCGGCACACACATATGTAGGTACAGCAATAAGTCCGTTGTCACATGATGAAAAAGTATCTATTATACAAAACAAATATTTATTTTTAACGTCATCTCAATGTACTCAATGTAACACTTCTCCGTTAATCAGATCGAACATCGATCGGATCCATATTTCACCGATCACTAAGAATGTGTGTTCCGTCAGGGAGGCCCCGTGTCTTGAACGTCTATTGAGAATTAAACTCAACTTCGACCCCAAGTGAAACTCGTATAAACGATCTATCGTTGAAGATGCAGGAAAAATGGTCAGTTCCCTGTACCACTCCAGTAATTACATGACTCCCCCCTGCTATAGTCTACCTTTACAAGGGCCAGATCAGGCCTCAAATGGAGTATTGCTGCCGTATATGGACAGGAGCTGCCCAATCGTTCCCGTCTCGATGAAGTCTAAAATCATCTCAGCATCCTTGTGGGTGATGGATTATTTTCCAGCCTGCAGACCCTTTCTCACAAACGAAACGTCTCTCTCTCTCTCTCTCTCTCTCTCTCTCTCTCTCTCTCTCTCTACATATAAATATACTAAGAGTAGAGCCCGGCGTTGCCCGGAGATATAACAGTAAGAAATAGATCAAGTATCCACCATCATAAAGACTGAAAAATAAAATTGACAAAGATTATTGTTTAAGGTTGACGGACACGCATGTCTTAATTAGTTTTTTTTTTTACGAATTGGTCAAACCCAAACTCAAACAAAATATTGTTTTCAGTCTCTACTGATTGAATAGAATTTTATTATAAACAATTGTCTTGTAAATGGAATTTTTAAAGCATTCTGAATGTAAAAATAAAGAAAAAAAGTGTGCAAGACAATAAGACAATGCCAAAAAAAAAAGAAACAGCCTTTCTGTAATCTTTTAGTTTTACAATTTATGATTTTTTTTATTGAATACAGTAAAAAAAAAAAATTTGATTAGAATTTGATTTTGAAACTCGTTGTTTCGGTACAAAAATAAACTTTATTTGGGTTTATTAATTATGATCTTCAAATAATCATTTAGCCTTTCTGTTTAACTTTTTTAATTTATGAATTTTACTTATTGAATACAGTAAAAAAAATAGACACCATGTAAAAAATTAGTTTCAGGTTATTATTTTAGGAGGATTTTGTATGTTTAGATTAATAAATATAAAGAATTATCCGATGTTTGATTTGAATCAGTAGAGATCGTTAGATATTGTTTTTCCACTCGTCTTAATTAGTTTTTTTTTTTTTTGTTTCAAACCCAAACTCAAACAAAAACATTGTTTTCAGTCTCTACCGATTGAAAAATTTTATTTAAACTTTATTTGGGCATCCTGAATATTAAAAACAAAGAAAAAGTGAGAAAATCGATCCCATATATAAAGGAATACACACTCACAAACAACCTGGGTTTTTAACCCGATGAGTTGTTCTCCTTTCATTTAACGATGTCTCTTAACAAAGATTTTGTGAAAAAAAAATGTATTTTTTCCCAGAGCGCTGTTAGAACCACCGCAAGGTAATTTTATGTAGTCCTGTGAACTGTTGTAGGAAATCCGATCCAATATATAAACGTTACAGACACACACACACACACACAATCTGGGATATATATATATATATATATATATATATATATATATATAGATATATGAAAGATGTCTGATTATTTTTAACATAATCCTTTCATATTGACAAAATTTTTCCGTATATTTCAATTATTCGTGAATTTGAAAAGATTCAGGCATAAATTTATTCAATCAGAAAAAATTTACTTAAATACACAAATATATATATTATCAATGTTCACTTTTATATTTATATTTGATCTATCTCTGATATTGAGCACTTTATCCAATAAATAATTAAAACTATATTTTTTATATATATATATATATATATATATATATATATATATATATATATATATATATAATGAGGTTAGAAGGCTTGGAGAATTTAAGAAAAAGGGACAGAGAGAATAAGAAAAAGCAAGATCTGGGAAATGTTTCGATGGGGTAATAGAGGAAAAATAAAGTAAGCAAGATATATAGAGAGAAATAATGAAATGGAAAGAAAAGAGAGAAAGAGAAAATCTCTGAAATTAAGCAAGAACGAGGGAGAAATAGAGAAATCGAAGAAAAGGAAAGTAAGAAAATAGAATGGGGAAATAGTTCGGAGAGAGAGAAAGGGAGGGATGGAAAGAGAGAAGAAAATTAGGAGATAGAAATAGAGAAATGGAAAGAGAACAATGAAAGGAAAGTGGGCGAGAGAGATTGGGTTTACTACAAAAGAAAAAAAAGTGAGACCTTACATGAGCATGTATTATTTAAGGCAACAAAAGAGAGGAAAATGTCGAGAGCCTTAACTGTTCACGGCCCGAAGGGATATGGCAGAGAAAGAGATTAGACATTTTAATACAGATTCAATTAAAAACAGAAAAAAATCTTTATATGAAATATGCTAAATAATTAAATTCAAGATTTGCACGTATATATATATATATATATATATATATATTATTTTTAAAAAATATGATTTTTTTAAAAGAAATGTTTCAAAAACAAGAGCTAAAATCTCTGTTTCATCCCCAAGCGAAATTTTGGGGAATTCCAAAAGATTTAACTTGTTTTTTGAAACATGTGAACCTGTAGCGAAGGAATCATTTCAAAAAAAATAATTATAATAATTTAGGCTCTACTTATGTATTGAGCACTGTTTTTTTAAAATAAAAAACAAAAATACTAAAGAACTTCAGATTATTTACCTAACGTGTTCTTTCCTATTTTTCTATATATTTGCACACACACACACACACACATATATTATTTTTGTCACACACAGACAGAAATAATAACATTATCATATTCTACAAAAGTCAAACACACTTTAACTATAAGCAAGATAATCTTCCCTTAGAAATATCATAAAGAAATACATTACCCGAGTCGACCCGAACAAGTAAATTAAATTATCTGTTGCAAAAAAAATGTAAAACAGCTAAGCTTACCATCAAAAATAACAACACACGTGCAAAATCAAAACTACAAAGAAACAACATTATTATTTACGAGTTCAAATGCACCTGAAGGAACTGTGTTCTTAATCAACCCAAACTCATAAATAATTACAACAGTCACTCAACTACATGCCTATCCAGACGACTTACGCTACACTTAAGCGACCATATTTCCATTAGAACTCATTTAAACATACACACACAAACCTACCAGACTTCATCCGAAATATACTAGTAGAAAATACAACTATAATAAAGATTAAAAATAATGGAAGCCCTAATAATAAAAAAGAAAAAAGCCAACACTCATTAACATTAACTATCAACACAGACACAATTTGCTGGCCGTGTTGGGAAAATAAAAAATCCCTATAACTCTAGATACATGCAAATTAAAAATGTCTAAAAGTATAGCCGAAAGCCCTCGGACATGCATAAATTTTGGACAGTTTTTAAACACGTTGTGTCCAGAAAAGAAAACACTTGTACGAACACAAGAAACATTAAATAAAAAGCTTAATCGCTGTACCCTGCCAGTTGTCTTTAACGGAAAAAACACACACATACATATATATATATATATATATATATATATATATATATATATATATATATATATATATATATATAGTACAGGTAATGGATCCGTTGGTATATAATCCAGGTGGATCCTAGTAATATTAATTATTAACAGAGCATATGTATTTTTTACAACAATAAAATAAAAATTACCTCAACATATTTCAAGTTGATTTGAACGCGACTATCATCAGCTATGATAGTGGCGTACAGAACGGCTTGGAATAGACTCTCTCTATGTTGAGGTAATTTTTGTTTTTTGTTGTAATATATATATATATATATATATATATATATATATATATATATATATATATATATATATATATATATATATATATATATATATATATAAGTAAATGTGTTGAAATAGCTTGATGTAACCCTAAGTTCTTTAATAGTTTCTTTTTTCGCACTTCTCACCTGTGAAACTCTCTTCCGGTTTCTTGTTTCCCTATCACTTACAATCACCTAAAAATTTTAATGCAACGTCTATCGCCATCTTTTGTCTCCCTCGATCATGTTCTTTTATCTCCACACTAAAGACTTCTCATTCTTTTCCACTCCCAAGACCCACCATCCGTCTTAGGGGCATTAAACAACTCAGGGTCCCGATATCTTGCTCCGTTGCACGTCAGGTGTCTACCAAGTAAACACTATATCTTCCTTACCTTGTGTTGTGTTTATTTTTTTAATACCATGTCCCTTTGGATGTAGGTGATCATTGATCTCCACAGTTTATACTTGTTTAAAATCTGTGAGCTGACTTGCGTAGTGGTTTTCTGCCGCCGTTTCTACAGATTTTAATTCAGAGTTTTCCTTCTTGACTATTTTTCCTACCAAGTCTAAGTTTCCCAAGTACTTTGTCTCATAGTTTGGAGGCAGCGAATTCAGGCATTTCCCAAAGAGGAGTGAATGCAATAGCATCGGTCGAGATTCGAACTCAAAATCGTTACACCAGCCATCGTCAATATAAATGACGCTTAAAGAGATATTTCGTATGAGAAGCTATGCAAAGAATATTTATTATCTAGCATGATTCTTGTGAAAATCTCCAGTGTTCAAGTGATCAGATGTATGCGTTTAAGCGCGTACACATTCTGCGCATGCGCATTTATGCACGGAACTCGAAGCGTTCTCAACTCAAATACACGCCCAAACTTGCATTCCCCAGTCACTAAGCACGTACGCATGCGCAAACGATTCTCTTTTTTTATTATTATTCAAGCGGTCGAGTGGAGATTGTTATGAAAATTTAACAAAGTATTTTCTCGGGTCTGATTATTCTGTAAACACAAAAATGACTGAAATAATTTTTGACCATTCAGCCTCCGTTACTAATAACAACCGGGTCTTTTGTTCAAACTCATTAAATAAATATAAAACATAATAGCTTATGCTGTCATCT